GATATAGTATGCAATAATATTACCAAAGTAATTCATATCAAATTGCTCTTCTGCTGCCTCCTCATGTGCAAAGATCACATTTGTATTTTTTTAAATATTTATTAAATAAATGTGTAGATGTTAAAATATTTTTGAGACAAATTCAGGAAGAAAATCTTATAAAATTGAATAGATTCAACTTTTGTAAATTGCATTCATTAAAATAAAAATGTAAATTATGTTAGGGAAATCACATGAATATAATTTATAAGTATTTTATTAAAAATTTATTGAGTCTACAGACTTGTTAGCAGAAATGAATGAGATGCAAAAGACTCATTATATCAGCTAGGGTTTTCTAGTGTATTTCTAGCTGCTATGCATAAATCTTGAATCTCAATAGAAGTTCTTTCTCACATTAAGCTCTGCAGGAATTTTTTAAAAATTTTTATTTATTTATACAAGCACTGGTACAGTTAGAAGCGTGGGAGGGTGAGAGGATTCGCCAGAGCCAGAGCGGAGAGCAGAACAGGGAGTCTGACGAAGTACACTGCTGAGGGGAGCAGCGGGTCGCAGGAGAGGTCTGTGCACCATGTGGGACCCTCGCCTTGCGGCCGGGGATGGAACCGGCACTGCAGAGGCTGTGGGCAGCTTACCAACCCAGTGCTCAACCGCTGTGCCACCGGGGAGGCCCTCTGCAGGAATATTTTTGATTGTAGGCTTGTCTGGTTTAGAAACTCAGGTGTCCCCCCAATTTTTGCTCTCCTGTCATTTCCATATGTCACTTCCAAGTACACCCTGCTTATTTACTTCAAACTAGAAGGGGGAAAGACATGGGGTATCTCCTGTGTGAGGTTTTTTGTTAAGTTGGGAATGAAATTTGATGAGCCTGCTCCAGAAAGGGTACATACCTTCTACTCTTCTTCCATTTATTTAAATTAACTAGAACTCAGGTATGTGACTACACCTAACTGCAAGGGAGGTTGGGAAATGCGGTCTAGCTCTGTGCCCAGGAAGAAAATACAGTTTGGGGGGACCATTTGTATTTGAGATAGACATGTAATCACTTAACATTAGTTCTGCAATTATTATTTCAGCATATATCATTTTGTGAATAAGAAAACGAGGCATATAAAGTTTAAATTACTTGCCTAAATCTTATATAAAGTAGAAAAATTTACATGTTAATTCAGGTTGTTTTGACCCCTGGACTAAGATTCTTCCATTTTTCATCATAGGCACAATCTAGGAAAGGAGGCAGGAAGTAACTATATATTATGTAGTTGTGGAACCTGCAAAGTTATTTAACTAGTGCTCCTTCCCCTGACCTCAGCTGAATAATGTAATTGGTGTAGAGGCTAAAGATTTATTTTGATTGATTCACACAGCAATTAAATTTTTGTTTTATTAAGTTACTGTCTTAGTCTGCTCTGGCTACAATAACATAATAACATAAACTGTCTTCATCAGCAGAAATTTATTTCTCACAGTTTTTGACATCAGGAAGTCCAAAGTCATATGCTAGTCCATTCAATTTCTGGCGAGAGCTCTTTATCTGGCTTGCAGACAGCTGATTTCTGGATATAGACTTCTCATGTGCATTACTTGCTGCTTGTGGTTGGAGACAGATCTTTCTTCCTCTTTTTTATAAGGTTACCAGTCCTATCAGATAAGGATTCTACACTGATCATCTCATTTAACTCAAGTTTATATCCTAAAAGCCCTGTCTACGAATACTGTCACAACAGGGACTAATGTTTCAACATATGAATTGGGGGAGAAGACACAATTTAGTCCATAGCAGTTACTAACCTCTAAATCTCAGAATTTTTCACTTGGGAGTTCATATCTCTGGCTTCTGTTAAAAATAACACAACAAAAAACTGAAGAACCTGATCATTTTTAAAGACCATAACAAAAACCAGTTTTAAAGGGGATCATGTCTCCCTGTTTGTGGGCATGCTCTCTCAAGTTCACAAGCATCTCTGCATTTTGATACCTGATTGGCCACTGACTTAATTTTATCATCCTTGATTATAGAGTATCCTGAAAGTGCTATAGATTTCTGGTGTGTAAAGCTATAGTTCTAGCATATAAAACAATAGGTTTTGCACGTATCTCCCCTTTTTCTGCTTGAATAAGTTGGATTTCTTTCCTTATAGGTGAGTTTCCTTGCAGATGAGTTTCAGTGAAGTGATGAATTTTGTCTATACCTGTGTTTACTTATAACCTGGGAAATTATGAAAAATATCTTCTGGAAAGTATTTGAGTGTCAAAGAGTTATTTGGATCTATTATCTAGTCTTCTCCCTCTGTAATTCTAAATACATTTTTGCCTCTGAATTTCTAATTGTTTCTTTCATACTTGTCCTTATTAATTTCTTTTATCCATATTAGAGGAATTCATATATAAAGTTCACACGGTTTTTAACAATGTTTCATTCCTACTGAACACAAGAACATTTGTTTCAACAAAAACCTCAAAAATAGCATACTGCCAAATTAGATTTTTGTGATGTGGAACAAATGTGATAGCATCATAGAGCACTTAAGTTTTCTTGCTGACAAAAATATATCTAGCTCTAGCATTGGACTCTTTTTTTGAGTCTTTTACTCTTTTCACTTCTTGGGCACACTGCTTTGTTATAAATGTTGAACATTTATAAGAATTAGGTGAAGCAGGCGGCTCAGTCATACACATAGAAAATGACAAAAGTTAAAGTCTTAGCATATTGTTATGAACTTTTTAGTTCATAATTTCCAGAAGATATTTTTCATAATTTCCCAGTTTATAAGTAAACACAGCTATAGACAAAATTTACCACTTCACTGAAACTCATCTGCAAGGAAACTCACCTATAAGGAAAGAAATCCAACTTCTTAAAGCAGAAAAAGGGGAGATACGTGCAAAACCTATTGTTTTATATGCTAGAACTATAGCTTTACACACCAGAAATCTACAGCACTTCCAGGATACTCTATAATCAAGGATGATAAAATTAAGTTTTTAGTCACTCCAGAGATGATCAATTTAGATCACAGATTAGAATATGCCTTACAACATGAACTCCATGTTGATAAAGTAAATAAGCCACATTTTTCTACTTTATTTTAAAAATTTTTTAAATTTATTTATGCAAGCACTGGGTACAGTCAGAAGCACGGGAGGGTGAGAGAATTCACCAGAGCCAGAGCGGGGAACAGAACAGGTAGACTGACGAAATACACTGCTGAGGGGAGCAGTGGGCATGGCAGGAGAGGTCTGCATGCCATGCGAGACCCTCGCCGCCGGCCGGGGATCGAACCGGCGCTGCAGAGGCTGTGGGTAGTCTCGTAGCCCAGTGCTCAACCACTGCACCACCAGGGGAGGCCCTTTTTCTACCTTTTTTATCTATAAAATGGAGATGATAGGAATATTGGGCAATGTATTTGTGCAAAGATTAAATGATCTGGTCAGTTTAGATTGTCTAGAGGAGTGCCTGGCACAAAGTAAGAACCAGCATGCTTTACTTAGGGAGGCAGTATACTCAAGAGGTCAGGAGAATGGGTTTTGAAGTCAATTTCCCTTTATACCCTGTACCTTTACTTGCTTGTTATATGAATTAAGTAATTAGTTTCTTCATGTATAGACTGGTCAAGGAAGAATACCAATTTTATCAAGTTACATATAGTGAGCAAAAACAATGTAAAGATATTAGCATAATGGTTTGTCATATAACAAGTACCTAATATTATAATAGGTCGATTTGTAGAATTTCAGATGATTATAGAATGTGAGTTCTGAACAGGAAAAAAAAGCTTTCAATGACATTATTGATTGGATTTGAACAAAAAGTAGATTCTTGCTCAATAGATTTTTATAGTATGAGAATAGGAATGAAAATACTTAATGTTATATTAAGTATGGCATTTTTTGACTCAATTAAATTAAAACAATACTTTTAAAGAATATAGTATTCATTTTTGTATAAGAATTGGTGTTTTAAGTACTTTGGGCAACAAAAAAAACTTTTATAAATATTTTACAGGTGATACTGTTATTACATTGACAGTTGAATAAACAAAAATTCTCTCAAGTATTATTGTATTTACTGCCATAAGGTACAAATATTGAGATGTTTGTTAGTTTTTGGTTTTTAGTGGATCATTTTTGATAATTATTGTAATCAGCTGTCAAGATGAATGTTTAGCATTTAAAAAATTGACCAACTTTTCATGGTGGCTGTCAACTGAAAATTGAATCAGGCAGATTTTTCCAGAAACAAATGTCATACCTGACACTGAATGACAATTTGCCATATTCAGTGGATCTTGTTATTGGCATTTTAAATATTTGCGGCGAGGTAAGGTTTTAACCTTGCCGCAAATAGGAGTCACCTGGAGGAGGACATTTAAAATAGATAAGCCCACCCAGACATCACCCTTTGTAATAAGCATGTCAGATGATTACACTGACCTGAATTTGGAAACTGCTTATCATCTTTACTCCAGTCCTAAAAAAATCATGAATGTTGAAATTTTGTAAATCATTGCAACAATTCAGATTCAACACTAACAATTATACTTTCTGGCCATGGATATAAAAACTACTTGTAATCACTACAGAGGAATTTTAATTATGTGGTGTATTTAGTAAGAACTTTATTTTTTGCCTGCTTATTTCCTAAGGATTAGGTTTTTTTATAATTTAAGAATTTTAATCAATTACAGAAAATAAAAGTTTTAATTTTTGCTATTGCCATACATTTTTTATTTAAAATGTTTTTTTCAAAGATTTCTTTTATTTATACAAGAACCGGGGTACAGGCCATACGTTTTTTAAAATAATTCTCACAGAGGTACACTATAGCCAATTTTTATTATAGTGGATTTTTTAAAGTACAAAATGTTTATGTTTTATGTGTTTCTCATTTGATTTTAGATTCAGTAGCATCGAATTAAGCTATATTTGAGTTGTTTTGCCCTTGGAAGCTATTATGATACTTAAAATTTAATTTTTCTATATTTGTCTTTTTTTAAAAGTCAGACTTCTAGCCCCTATATATCAGCTCATGATGATTTTATGAAGCAATATCCTAAAATATTTGTGAAGAAAAGGCACAGACTGCCTGAACTTCTCAAACTGGAGGGAAAAAGGTAAAGATGTCTTTTCTTTTAAAAGAAAGGTTGACTGTTGTGTGTGTGTTTGCGTGAAAGACTAAGTAACTCAAATACTGAATGTATGGGGTTGGTCCCCAGCACTCTGTGCTTGTGAGCAGCCAGGGAAATGGAAAGTGGTAAGTAAGGGGAAATTCATCTTCTTAGTGAGCAAAAAAATATCTACCCACTGATGAGGAGCTTATTTATTTAAACATTTTTTCAAAGAAGTATTACCTTTTACTGACGAATAGAAGTATTTATGAAAAGAATTAAAGTATTCTATAGGATGTCATCAGAAATTTCCCCATGGAAATGATTAGAGTTGCTTGTGAGTGGTGGTATTTGAATACATGTTAGGTGTAAATGGAATAAATGACATTGTCAATGGGCAACTGAAAGGCATTTAGGAAGACCATTGTACTGGGCACCTGCTTCTAGGCAAACCTGTATTTAAATACACAGTTGGCCCTTAAACAATGTGGGGCTTAGGGGCACCAATCCTTACACACTTGAAAATCCAGATTACTTTTGACTCCCCAAAATTTAACTACTAATATCCTCCCACAGACCCAGAGCCTTATCAATAAAATAATCAATTAACACCTATTTTGCATGTTATATGTATTATGCATTGTATTCTAATAATAAAATAAAGCCAGAGAAAATAAAATATTAAGAAAATCATAAAGAAGATTTTAAGTACAGTTCTAGTATTGTACTGTATTTATCTACTGTAATTTTACATTGTTTATAAGCTGAGTCATCTATTTGTTTGTACCTACATCAAATATTGTCTGTGGTACATCTCAAGCAATTCAGCTTTTTCTTGCAATGTCATGACTTTTCTGTTTCTTGGGAGCACTTCTTCTATCACTAGTGGCCTTTATTTGAGTCCCATGCTGTTATTCAAGGTTTATGACATTTCACTAAATATGATGAAAAATACGTAAGAAGGGGTCACGTTTTACTATGATATACTTTTTCCTGGAGCAATAACTGCTCAGTAGGAATGATTAGCAATACATAACATTTCAAATAGATACTGAAAACACTTGAGCTTATCATTATAGTAACTGGGAGGTGGCTACCAAATTATTAAGGTAGTACAGTGTGCACTACAATTAATGTTACGGTCATGTCTTAATGCTGCATCTTTAAGTTTGTTTATATTTGACTATGAATTGTGCCATGTAAGGCCTGTCTGAATTTGTATGTGTAAGTTTTGATAAATGTAAACTTGTAACTATAGATTTGTGTATATTTTATGATAGTAAATAATATAGACTAATTAACTGCATATATTTTATGCATTAATGAGATACCTTTTTTCCTTTGGGAGGGATAGAAATCAATAATTTACAGTCAACCTGAATTCATATTATTATCTAATTTGATTTTTATAAAAATTCCAGTTGATGTTACAGAAACTTTAGAAAGACATATGTAATGATACTTTGCTTGGGATAGGAGTTAAATGAATATTTGCTGAATTGATTTGTGAGTAGAGGGACTTTAGTTCATAAGTGTATGCTGAACATGGTATTTGATAATTATTTTATACATATATGTTAATATATTGCTATATTAAAGGTTGTTTTCAGATACCCCAACTTGTCAAGTTTTAACTTTATTTCAGTTAATCCTTAGTAGATAAATCTATGTAATAATCTTCTCTAATTTGATTTACGTATTTGTGTAGCTTGCCATATATTTTGGAAAATTTATAGACTACCTTCTTTTATAAAATACATGTGAGTCCAACTTCATTTTTAGATGTGGATTTTTCTATTGCTTTTTGGAAATGAAAAGAAAATTTTGAGTTTGGCATGGACATTAATTTAGCAGAAACTAGGGAAATATTGCTTATCTCTGTCTAACTTTAAAATATTCTTCCTTATATTAAAAGGGATGACAGGATTCCAATGTTGACTGTCAAGATTTTGTAATAAAACTTGCCTTCGACTCCTCAATTTTAACTTTGGAAATTTTGGCAATGTGTTGGACAAAGTCAGCATTACTGCTCAGTATAAGACAAAGCCTGCAATTAACCCATTTACAACCTCAGAATGGAAATTTACCATAGTTATTATTCTGGCTTATTACTAGTGATAATTAAGCTAAACTCAACAGTCAGAGTTAAAAGTGACTGCTTGTAATTGTATTATTATAAATGAGGCTGACTTCAGTTTCTAAACACAAAGATTTAAAAACAATGATTAAAGAATCCGTCAGCAAATAGTTTCAAAGTCCGTGTATTTCTCTGGTTCTAACTACACTTATAAGGATTTACAAAAAAGTAAAAGAGAGGGTTAAAGAAGGATTTGGAGACTGCTAAAGAAAAATGTTTTCAAGAGCTGTAACCCAAGATTATACAAAGGACAATGTGTAATGATGCCCCTCTCAACTAATCTGATCTGGATTTGAATTTCAGTTATGCATTTTGCAAATTTTGTTCCCTTAGAAAAATTACCTCAAACCTGGATTTTAGTCTCTTCATCTAAAAAAGGATCAATAAAGCATGTTTACAGTGATAATGGAAGAGTGAATGAAATAATGTTATACTAAATTTTATTTTGCTGGGTATTTAGGACCTGATAACTATCACCTGAATTTACTGAGGCATTTTTAACTTTGACCTAGAATATGGTCAGTTTATAAATGTTGGCATCTCTAAACTGTATTTTTTGCTATGGATGGGTCTTTTTCCATTCTTTGCATGATTTTGTATATATCATACTTTCAACATTTGGAAAAAATTGGTCCACTGAGTTACAATTTGCAAATTTTGACATTTCTTTATAAAATAAAAAAAAAAAAATCACAAATATTTTTATCACCACTGAGCTCATAAGAAAAGTCTTTAAGTATTGAGAAACCATCAAACACAGAAGTAGGTCCTATTATAGGACAGCCCCGATATTGAACGGGTTCCTGGCTGTGGGTCAGACCTAATGCGCTTTATGGTGACCAACGCAAGAAAAATTACTCTGGGCTGGTCAACCACGGGTGAAGCTTGGAAATCACGTTGGGCACCAAGCTGTTATAGGACAGCCCTGATATTGAACGGGTTCCTGGCTGTGGGTCCTCACCCGCGTTCTTACAAGGGACTTATTAATACTCCACTACAGGCACACACAAAAGGTTAATAAAAGGTTTATTTACAAGGGAAAAGGAAAGAAGGAAAATGTACAACTCAGGGAGAAAATAGTCTTTAATGCGTCCTACCTGATCCGCCGACCTGGAAACCCAAAGTCACTCTCAGAGCTGGCCGGACACTGCGAGCTGGTGGAGAGCCAAAATGGGGGACCCCCCAAAGCCCACGTGTCTGCCTTTATACCAACTTGGCTGCTTAACCCCACCCTCAGGTCCCAGCCACCTTCCCTTTGGTGGTGATGGGATTTGGAGTTCCCAGTGTCTTTGGCTTTGGCCTGGGGTGGGGGTGGAGTCCACAAAGCCTGTATGGAATTAGCTTTAGGACATCCTTTTCCCCCTAACAGTACAACTTTTACAAAATTATACTTTTTACTTGAAAATTTGACTCATTATTGGCAAAGGATGCTGTATCTTTATTGAACTGACAATTCCATATCACTCATTTGAGAGAAAATATATACCCAACTTCATATCCATTTTTCTGTGTTTCACAAATAGCTGTAGTGTAAATTTTTAGTAAAGTTTGATGCTCGGTAGAAATTTCTGATTCTTATTTATCTATCTGGTAAATGAATCTTTTGTGTTATTCTCAAGCCTTTAAAAAAATTTTTGGTTTGTGTTTCATGGTAATATTATTCTAAGATAAAGAATATTTATACTATCATGATACTTGTATATATAAAATGCGATTTACTATTATTATTATTTTTCACATAATGCTTATCATATGTTTATATTTTAAAACTTCCCATGTATATAATTAAAGGTGACTAATCTACTATCATTTGGGTTTTTATTATCCCTTCCACTATTTTTTGTTAAGGATGAATAATGTTTACTAGATTACTTGCCCTTAGGTTTTTCAGTGACCTCTTATTACCAATGCTTGACTAGAGAAATGAACGTGAAATGGCCATTCATTTATATCACTCTTGGGGACTTGGGTATATAATGTACTATAATAAGAGTAAAATACGATGGTCAGTTACAAAATGTTTTCAGTTGGAAAAAACATTAAACAAACTACTTTTATAATTGGTGCTAAAAAAAAAAAAACCTTGAAAGACAGGTGTATTGTTATAAAGAGAAGACTGTTAGCCATTGACTTATTTCCCTAAATTACATACACCTAATTTATTATAAAAGATGTTTCAATCACTTAGGGCCATTATTACAAAAAAACTCCATAAATTGAAAATATTTTCATACACTAATTTTTACTTTAATAGAGTAATGTGTATAACTATACTACTGATGATGGAATAAAAACCAAAGGCATTGAAAGGCTAAATATATTATAAAAGTTGGCCTCCCTGGTGGTGCAAGGGGTAAGACTCAGTACTATGAAGCTATCTGTAGCCACTGCAGTTCAATCCCCAGCCAGGGAGCTGACCCACATTGCACAGCAGACCTCTCCCGTCTCGCCCTGCTGCTCCCCTCAGCAGTGTATTTCAGTAGATCTGCCTGTTCTGCTCCCAACTCCAGTTAATTCTCTCACACGCCCCGCCCCCCACCTCTGGCTACATCCTGGCTCTTGTATGCATAAATAAATAAATAAATCTTTTTTAAGAAAATGCCAAGTTATCTTAGTACAGTGCATTTCTACTCTTGAAAACAAAGTAAAAATTTTTGTAAACAATTTTTGTACAATATGCAAAGTCATAAGATGTTATGTTTCCTTGTTTAGAAAACCTGCTGAAAATATAGAGGAAACTCAACTCCAACAACCTACTGATGATTCTCACAATGTAGCTGTCCATATTAAAAAAATACATGGTGACATTTTATATGGACCAAAAAAATTTGAAGAGAAGAAGTTAGCAGAATTCCTGGCTATCTTAAAGAAATTGTAAGTATTTTCAAATATATTACTCCTTGTAATTGAATCTTTCATTTAACTACCTTAAAAAAAGTCATTTACAGTTAAGTGTACTTCAGTTGTAATTTAGCATTAGTGGTTGATATAGAACAGTTGGAATTAGTGGAGATTGTTTATAGATGAATGCAATCTTTGGCAATTCAACCTTCATGGCGTATTAGGATGTATTGGTAATGTATCTAATTGTGACACAGCATTTGAAATTTTAAGTTGCAAGCAAAATAGGTGTTATTTACTGATTATGTTAAATCAAAATCATGTCTAAGATTTCATTAATTTACTTGTCAGCATTTCATAGAGTTTAAACTGTCTTCCCCATCACAGAACCAATAAGTTTACCTCAAATCATCTTTAATTTCCTTGAGTGTTTTGTGCTGTGATGGAGATAAAACCACCTGGAGGAGGGAAAAGAGAAAGAGGGGATTAAATCTGAATGGATACTAGTAACCAGAAATAATGTCGAATTTGTGAATAAAATTACATTTAAAAGGGACCATGGGGGCCTCCCCTGGTAGCGCAGCAGTTGAGCGCTGGGCTGTGATGCTGCCCACAGCTTCTGCAGCGCCTCTTCGATCCCCGGCTGCCAGCGAGGATCCCACATGGCTTGCAGATCTCTCCTGCCGCCTGCTGCTCCCCTCAGCAGTGTATTCCGTCACTCTGCCTGTTCTGCTCCCTGCTCTGGCTCTGGTGAATTCTCTCACCCTCCCGCGCTTCTGACTGTACCAGTGCTTGTATAAATAAATTAATTAATTTTTTAAAAAAAGGGACCATGGTAAAATGTGATGTTGCAAGTGACAGTAGAGACAAAACCAAGGGTAAAAATTTTAAGACTAGAATTGTCTTGGAAAACCAGTAGCATGGAATTAAGAGGCATTTATGTTTGGAGGAATACACTGGAAATTCTATAATATAAACAATTTCCTCCCTATAATTACAGTTGCAAATTTGAGAAAATATGATCAGAGATTCCAGAAATTTTGAGAATCATCAGATTTATGATTCTTTTACTTACCAAAAAAAAAAAAAATACTAATTAGTTGATAGTTTACAGGTGTGAGGAATTATAGAAAAGGAAATCATAACCAACTGTCGTGCAGGGTTATAATTAAACCGGTAAGCTGTAAAAATAGGAAATTTAACTAGGATGTGCTCAGTGAATGTGTTAAAAGTATGCTTTAATTGGCAGAAAACCACTAAAGGACTGAAAGTTATTAATGCTCTTGGATGTTACAAATAATTTTATCTCATTAAACTATGTTGATTGAAATTGCATTGACTTAAAATTTTTAAGCATCTAGAAACCCATGAATCACTGCTGATTTCAGATTATTCTGGACTGCAGAAATTTTAATGGTGGTAGTAATCCTGTCATTCTGAAGATAACAAGGTAGCAGTTTCCGGGCAATGAAGGTTGTAATCTGAAATGTAGGAGGTGCTCAAGTGACTGGCAAGGTGTCAAAAATACTGACTTGAAGTCAGCAGGGGGATGCCAAATGGGTTAAAAGGCTAATCCATGTTAGCAATGGACTGACGACAGAAGCAGAATCCATGCTTATAGGCTATGTAAACATAAAGGATAGTAGACAAAGAGGCTAGCTGATTCATCCTTATGTGGACCTCTATAGAGTCCATTTAACAGTCTCTAAATACCCTGGAAAGTAGATGTTGGGATGGTGGTAATTTCCAGAACCAATGCCATCACTGATGTAAGAAAATATGGGTGAGTAGAGGAGATCCTGAAGTACTGGAAGCTCCCAGTTTAGAATTGGCTACTATGACTCTTTATATGGCAGGTCTTGACTGGTGCCAATGTGTGGGACTGTGACAGTCACTGAATTATAATCCCAGAGTTAGTGACAAGGGAAATCACCTTCATGAGATGTTTAATATTTATACAAAGCCTTAATCCATATCTATGAAATTTCAGATTTAATCTTCACATCAATACTTGAGGTGGATATAAGTGTATTCATTTTTTTGAATTTCTGTGTAACAAATTATAAATGCAGTTGCTTAAAACAACATACACACATATGCATATATATATGCATATAAATATATGCATATATATATATATATATATATATACACACATACACATAATTTCTGTGGGAAAGGTTTAGTTGTGTCCTCTCTGCCCATGTCTTACAAGACGTCAAAGTGTCCTCAGGGCATTGTTTCTTCCTGGATGAGGAGGTGTTCCAAACTCATTTGTGTTGTTGGAAGAATTCAGTTCCTTGTGGTTGTAAGACTGAGTTTCTTACTTTCTCCCTGGCTTTCATCTGAGGGCCCCATTCAAATCCTAATGACTCCATAGATTTTTGAGTCATGATGCTTTCTCATACCTCCTCATAACTTGAAAGCTTAACTCGTCAAAGCCAGTTAGGGAGAATTTCTCAATCTGCTTAGATGAATTATTAATGACTTAATCAAGAGTCTATATTCTATCAACCTGTCTATATTTTGTTGGCTAAAAACAAACCTTTGGTTTTGTCTCTACCCCCAAAACTCAGGGAGAAGGACTTGGGGGTCCCCTTAGGGTTTGTTAGGCATATTTGGTAACATTGTAAATCTTCTTATTACTCTGCTAATTAAATTTACTCTGTATGCTTTATGTATATTCACAGAATTATTTTAACTAAAATTTGTTTCTTGATGGGAAAGTTGTCTGGTCTTTAGCCCTCTGTTTATCTTTAAGTAACTGACCTATAATCAATAGGCTTGCTTTAGTGATGTGTTTTAACAAGTTTTAAAAGGTATCTACCTTATACTCTCTAAAATTCATTTTGTCATTATGCCTGAAACTGAAAAATAGAAATTAATTTTGAGTAACAACAACTTATTTTAAAGAAATGTAAGTATGCCTGACAAGATTAAGCAGCTATTGATTACTGATAACTTGGTGTGATTTGGCTTATTCATGTTGATTACTTCTTAATTTCAGTTCAGCAGCTCTGATCAAAAAGTTCTAGAAGGGAGATAAAATAAATGATTTTGAAACATTAAAATAATTGGAATTGGTACATCTGGGAGATGCTACCATAGATGAAGGATTTGGGAAACAGGAAATACCGTGTAATTGGGAACTGTGTGGATAGAGTGTGGGAGGAACAGATGAGCCATAGAAAAAAAGAGCGTTTAGAGACATTGTTAAATTTTGTATGTTATAGCATATTATATTGAATAAAGATTATGTATTTAGATAGGATTTGGAATTGTAAGCAAAAGAAATGGACTCTTATTAATTCAAACAAAGCTAAATAAGGAAAACCTATGGAAGAATTTTGGGCAGTTTCCAAAATGAAAGCAAACTAATAGATGGTGAAAATGAAATAGAGCAACTCTGGAATTCCCTTTAAATACAATATTGAAATCAATCCACTATAATACTGATTAGTATTTATTGGGCTCACACTTAACTTTCAGGAGTAGGAAATGAGATTGTTGTAGTTTGTTTTATACCCCTTAGCCAAGTGCTTAAGCAGGGGCAGTATACTTTGACAATTTTACTGAGGTTCCATGCAATTATTAAAGGGATAGCATTTCAAAAGAGAAGCCATTTCAAATGGAGAGGGGAAGGGATCATGTATAAACAACATTAAAAGCTATGAACTAAAACATGACTTTAAATTTAACGTCTAAATAATTTGACTGATTTTATTTTGCATTCGTTAGTTAACAAATTTAACAAATATTTTTGAACTCCTATATGCTTCTGATAATGTTCTTGTTATTAGGATTCCAGTGTTACACAGAATATCTACCATCAGAGTTAACTTGCATTCTAATATAAGAGAGCTGGAGAGGTAATAAACACATACCTGTTATAAGCACTAGGAACTTAAACTAATGCAAAATAGGAACCGAGAGCATGATAGAAATGATGAGAGAAGTCCTCATTGAAAGGTGAGGTTGATCAGATAGTTTAATGAAATGAAAGAGGTACTCAGTCAAATATTTTGGAGAAGTGTGTCCCAGGCAGAGGAAACAAAACTGCAAGGGCCCAAGGATGGCAACATGATTTGGAATTAAAAAAAAAAAAATAGAAAGAAGACAAGTGTTCCTGAAATATATTAGTGAGGGGAAGAGTTGGTGGGAATGAGGCTTAAGAGACAACAGGAACCAGATCACCACTTAGGTTCTTATAGATCAGGGTAGGTTTCAGTCTTGGTGTGATTGGCGAAATGATTATGCTTTAAATAGCAATGGAAAGTGGGTGGAAAGTTGACTGTGGGTGTCAGGAGGAGATTTGGTGTGACCTGTCAGAAGACTACATGGCAGAAGGAATTGGTCTAGGTGAGAGTGGTCTGTGGCTCAGATTTTTATTAGGGAGTTTGATTGGATATTAGGATATAATTTTATTTCTTTTTTATAGATGTCAGGTTTCAATTGATACTCTAGAAGCACATAAGATTCTTTATTCAACCTAACCACTGATGAGGAGAATGCTGGGCAAATCATATAAATCATGTCATATGTTTGTATTTGATTGCATTATCTCTAATACCACCAGCATTTACAATGCACTTAGGAATTGCTTTGGAAAAAAATAATTGGTTTCTTATCAATGACTTAATTTCTTAAAATAAGTGACACAGAGGTATATTTGTGGAGTTGTGGAAAGGGTAGGGGAAGAGACAACTGTATAAATGAGTTGTGAAAAGCAGTTTAAGATTCTGGGAGAAAACTTGGCCAAATTGTTTTTTCTCCTACTTTCTCAATTAAAGATGTTTCCTTTGAGGAATGAGGCGTCTGAAGATTATTATGCTTCAGAGGAGCAGTGATGCAAAGCCACTTCCTAGGAATGACTCAAAGGAATTGTTCCCTGGAAGGACATCAGAATTTTTGCTTTTTGAATTCAGGCTATTTAAAGTCCAAATGCAATATGGTTCTTACATAGTTGTCTTCTAATTAAATGCCATATAAGATGAGGGATTGCAATCTTAAACTATATTAAAGGGCTACATGCT